CAGTAGCTTTAACTCTAGATGCCAGAGCTGCCTTGAAACAAGAGCAGCCGCTGGATCTTAAACCATCCTAAAAACACCTCTTCAATATTCCGTCTCCTCTACTGCAGGAAAAAAGGTAAAGCACACAGGATTTGTGTGATTAAATACAGCTGTTGACATAATAATAATAATAAACCAAAACAACAAAATATAAAACCTTCCAGGTAGGACCTTTTCATTTGCCTACTCTGCTCATGAAATTCTTACTAAATGCACATGCCTCATTCTCCTAGGAATGTCTGTTGCCTTATGGATTCACCTTTTCTTGCAGAGAACAGATAAACATGTATCCACAGTATGAATTTCCATGAAAACTAGACAAATGCAATCACAAGATGTCCATCATGAAGATGTCTCCACTAGCTGGGACCCAGTAATCTTTAGACCTAACTTGATTCAGGCCCTCGTCTGTGGCACTGAGTCTCATAGTCTTTACACACTTCCACCTAGAGTTTCAAGTAAGTTGAAATACAGACATCTAATCTTACATGGGAAAGAACAGAGCTTTCCAGCCTGTGGGATGACATCTCAAAGGCACACGATCTACTTGCTGAAGTTGAGCTGATGTCCAAGGGGCGTCGGGGTCTCGGTGTCAGGCTTTCTTTTCCTCAGTGGCCTTGGCACAGCTACTGCCTGCCTGGCCTGCCCAGGCCCTAGAGGGTGGAGCGAATCTGCAGACCCAGCTGTGGCCCAGCAGGAGCTTGGGGCCCATGGAAAGACAGGCCGTCCCGGCAGGCGGTGCCCGCGAGGTGAGACGCAGCCATGCTGCGGGGCAGAGTGTGGCATCGAGCTCCATGGACGCAGGCAGATGGAGAGTGGTAGGAAGGGCCTCGCACTGCCCACAGGAGGAGAGAACTTCACCAGGGAGTGGCCTCTGCTCAGGTAGAGAGGCCGTGGAGAAGTCAGCCAGGTGGAGGGAAGAAGGGAGCCCTGCAGGTGGGCGTGATGGGACTGGAGACCGAGGGCCAGGGAGGTGCACTCCAGAGGGGTCGTGCAGGAGAGACGAGAGGAGCCTACAGGTGCCCAGGTAGTCAGGAGAGTCGTCCGCGCAGCCAGGAGGGCAGGGGGCAAACAAGAGGAAGTGCCAAGATGATGGGAAGGTCTGAGTGCTGGCGAATTTGGAAGCTGGGAATAATCAAAAGGAGAACACGGGCAGAGCCCACTCGGGGGCTGGGAGCCTGACAGGACTAGGCCCCCAAGGGTGGGGTGTGTTGCCTGGAGACAGAGCAAAGTGGAGACATATGAGGCCAGGGGGTGGCAACTTTTTCTGGAGAGGATTTCGTAGCAAATGTTTAGGCTTTGGGAACTCTGCGGGACCTAAAGAGTTCCCGTTTTTTGTGGCCACTTGGCTCTGCCCTGTACTATAGGAGCAACAGCAGCCTGCCCACCAAGCCCTGAGGGCAGCCAGGTGCCAATGACACTCTATCCATGGCATGGCAACGGAATTTCACATAGCTTTTATATATCAGAAAATATTATTTGTCATTTGTGTTTTTCTCCAATTCTTTAAAAATGTCAAAGCCATTCTTAGCTCACCATACAAAACAGGGGGGGTGGGGCTGTGGCTTGGAGCTCCTGGGAGAGGGCAGGGCCCAGATGCCCCAGTGGATGCTCCGTCCTCCTCCCCGCAGCCCCTCCGTCACCCTGCATCGATTTCTATTTCCTACAGACAACGTGAAGCCCCTTCCTCAGCAGCCCCCGCGGCTTTCCCTGTTCTTCCTTCTCATGAGTCTCCGTCCTGGCCTCCAGACCACTGGCTGTGCTCACCATCCTGTGTGTTTCTCTACCTTTGTATGATTTCTGCTCAAACTCTATGATCTCATCTACAGTTTGCCGCTTTGGTGAAGCACATGCTAATCCCGCAGGCAGAAAGACTCCTCACTTCACTGGGCACCAGTGTGTGTTTCACTGTCTTGTGTATCCTGAGGGAAGGAATGATGGACTGACAGATGGGTAGGCAGACACACGGACACACAGACACACAGACAGACACATAGACACAGATGGTCAGGTGGACAGCAAGCACTGGTGTGCTATGTCTGGAAGGATGCAGCTGGTGAAGTGAAGATTTTGTGAGTGGTCTGATCACAGCTGGTATGATTTAAGGGATGATTCTCCAAGGCTGCAGAGAAGGTCCTATGCTCTATTTCATTCTGTATCTGCATGGCCCTGACCTTTGGTTGCTAAGAACTGTACTTTTCTCCCTTACAACAGAACCATTTCTTTGTCTCTTTTTAGAAGCAACCAATCAATTCTCTCTGCACCTGAAGCAAGTATTGGCCAAGATTCATTGGAGGGTACCTGCAGGCAGCAGTCACTCTGCGGTCAGAATCTGCCACCTGGTGCCCAGGCGTGGGGCCGGACCCTCTCGGATCACACCCCATCAACAACCCTACCAGCCAGTCTTGTCCTAGCGGGCACTTTCCAGGATGCTTTTAAAATCTGTCAGATGAGTCTAGTGAAATGGAAACAGAGTGTCACTAAAAGCCCAGACTTCACATCCACACGATACATCTGCGTAACACTTGTGCCTCTAAAATCTACACAAATAAGCGGAGGGTCGGCTCAGTTTCTCACTACATTGTGGTAAGAGGCTGCATTTCCTCTGCTCTGTTTTCCCGAAGCCCTAACACTGAGCTTTCAGCCTGTCTGCTCAATAGACGCTTGTTTCCAGGGGGTCGGCTACAAAGCATGGCTCAGCCTTAGTGTCCACAGCAGGGCCTCTGCCGGGCATGTGATGGTCAATGCCAGTAACTAACATGTGATGGTGCCACCGAGCGCATCCTCGCACCCGTCCCGTCTCGGCTGATCTTCACTGCAGCCTGGCGAGGTCAGCAGAGGACACTCCTGCTTCCTCTCTGCTCCCGAGGAAACCCATGCCGTGCTGGGCTAATTTGTCCAGTAGCATCCGGCCCCTAAGAACGGCACCGAGAATATGCTCAGTGGATTTGACTTCGGGTCCCCTCAAGGCAGCGTGACCCTGAGACTGCTCTGCTGCTCACAGCTTCACCCAGAAGCCCGCTTTCCTTCTCAGGCTGGAGTCTAACCTTAACAACGAAGCTCAAGAAAGAAATCAGCCCACATGGAACAAGAACAGCAAAAAACAGGTGCGTAAAAATGAACCTCTAATGAAAGCATGGATCAAATCCTGGCAAAATGTCAATGAATTGGAAATCATATAAACAGCCTTCAATTATGAGAACCTAATTTCTTTTGATTCTTCACTTGTAGATGAACAAATGAGATGATAAGAAACCTGAAATTATCACAAACCCAACAACAAACCAACAGAACTATTTCTGTTATACCCTACAGTCACTCCTTCTATCCATTTATGTCCGTGTTTCTGACCAATATATGATAGCTCCAAGAAATACTACATTTCATTCATTATACAAATAAATTGTTATTAAGGCAAGAAATACCATAGCTTAGAAAGATGTGCGGTCATTCCTGTAGAATGATAAAAATGGTTTCTGAACTCCCCAAGCATTCAGTTTAAATACCGTGTGTGTGTGCGTACTGTGATTTTAACTAAGTATCTTTTTCTTTGTTTTTGATCCAGCGTCTCGCTCTGTCCCCCAGGCTGGAGAGCAGCAGCACACTAGCTCAGCTCACTTCAACCTCTGCTTCCCAGGTTGAAGCGATTCTTGCGCCTCAACCTACTGAGCAGCTGGGGTTACAGGCATGAGACACCATGCCCGGCTAATTTTTGTATTTTTAGTAGAAACGAGGTTTTGCCATGTTGGCCAGGCTGGTCTTGAACTCTTGACACCAAGTGATCCACCTGGCTCAGCCTCCCAAAGTGCTGGGATTACAGGCGTGAACCACTGCACCCTCCCTAAATATATTTTTCAAAGAAAAGCTTGATGACCTTTTTAAAAAAACTATTTCCTTCCCCTGTGCTACAGAATATCATGACAAGATTGCTAAATCATCAGAACATTTACACCCCAAGTCCCAATTGGTAAAACTTGGCAATTACGTCTATACAGCCTAGAATTTAAAGCAGACACACAGTTAGATCAATAAAAAAAATTAAATACAGTCTTCCCCTCTAATGAAAAACTACTTACCAACTAGCTTTGTAGTGAAATGGTAACTAGTTCACACTCTTGGTAGTGGTTCAAATAAGCATTAGTCAAAATAAACCACCCTTTTCCCGTGAAGCCCGTGGCCCTGCGTTTGCTGCATGAGCTCTATTTTGTTGGTGCCACGGCAGCCACAAGCCAGCAAGGAACAAAGCTCTGGCTCTGCCGGCAGCACCCCAGGCTGGACCTTGTTTTGCTCCATCGTCCCCAGTTACAGGGGGACCCAGGTCCTGGTCTTGCTGTGAAGAGGCTGGGTGACAAGCAGGCCACTAGCTCTGGCTGCACGGGAATCACTGGTGAGCTTCTCAAAAATGTCATCGTGTCGTGCAGGGAGCCCTCCAGAGATTCTGATTTCACTGGTCATGAGGGCAGGTTGGGCATAAGAATTAAAAAAAAAAATCTCCCCGGATGGTTCTCATGTGCATGCGAGGCTGAGAACACCAAGGAGATGGGTGCAGAGCTCCTCAAAGCTCCCGGGAGCCGAGGGCTGCCTGCTGGCTCCCCCTGCACTGTCTCAGGCATTTATTTAAAGGAAGCGTATTAAGATAAGGGTACTGTCTTCCCAGTACCACAAAAGACAACGAGCCAGTCCATCGCTTCTCCCTCTCCACATTTCACGAGCAGCCGAGGGCGCTGCCTCAGAATGATTGCGGGGAAACCATCACCTTCCTTCCCCTGAAGGTTTGCTCTCCTACAGCTGTGTGGACCTGGGGGGCTTTCAGCTCCTGGGCTGTGCTACGAGCATCCTGTTCTTTTGGTACCCATCGAGTGACCACCACCGCTCAACTAACTTGTAGGACATTGATATACACAACAACAACATCATCAATGGCAACGTGTCTCTCATGTAGAAGAGTGTGCACCTCCTACCATCATCATATCCTTTGGGGGATATATCCCTGGTTTGCACCTTGGGAGCTATGGCTCGCTTGCCATAAGTATGGCTGTCGTAACTGTTGTATTCAAACGAGGTCTTGGAATATTTCTCGAGCTCCTTGGCCAGGTTGGAACGCGGCGTTGTTGTGGGGACATTGTTTCTGTAGCCATACTGAGGAATCTCCAGCTGCTTCACAAAGCACATTGGCCTGGAAGTGAACAAGACAACAAACAACAGCTTGCTTTCCTGTGGCTTTGCACATGACGAGCTTCACAGTAAAACTAGAATATCCTACTTTTTAAGATGGATTACCTTTCACTAAAACTAAAACTTTTTTATTTTCTGAAGAAAAGACAAAGTGTGTTTTAATTATATAGCACCAGATAAACTGCCTAAAAGTCAACTGGGCAATAAAAAAGGACAAGAAATAAAATCTTTAAATATGTTCCCTTTTCCTTCTTTCCTGTAAGAGGTCTGGTGGCATGGTGATGACATGAAATATGAGGATGGGGACAATCTCAGTCTTGAATTTTCTTTGCAGTGGTTACAAAGAGTTGCTGAATTATACACAAAGACATTGCCTCAATAAGAAATTCCGCTTAAAAAGTAAGAGGAAGTGAAGAAATACTCTTAGGGACAGACTGAGACAGAATCAGATCAAAGTGTACCTAACTGGACAATGAGGTAGGCTAGGTGGTAATGCACCTTGTCAAGTACTAGACTATGCATTCAATATTTTTACCTAGTAGTCACTTCTTATTGTCTTTGGAATAAAATGTTTAAAAGGAAGGACAGGCTGGGTGCAGTGGCTCACGCCTGTAATCCCAGCACTTTGGGAGGATGAGGTGCACGGATCATGAGGTCAAGAGATCAAGACCATCCTGGCTAACACAGTGAAATCCCGTCTCTACCAAAACTACAAAAAATCAGCCAGGCATGGTGGCAGGTGCCTGTAGTCCCAGCTACTGGGGAGGCTGAGGCAGGAGAATGGCAGGAACCCAGGAGGCGGAGCTTGCAGTGAGCCGAGATCGAGTCACTGCACTACAGCCTGGGCGACAGAGCGAGACTCCGTCTCAAAATAAATAAATAAATAAATAAATGAATAAATAAAAAAGGAAGGACACCAGGTCATTGCTCACTCATAGACATTGTGTCGCGTGTGTGTGTATGTGTGTGTAGGTCCACCTCTTCATCTGTCTAGCTCATAAGTGAAGTTTTTAGACTTTATACTTAAAACAATTTTAGACTTGCAGAAAAGTTGTACAGAGGTTTTCTTTACACTCTGCCACCAACTTCCGCCAACGTGACCATCTTCATAACCATAAGACAAGAGCAAAACCAGGCGATTAACATTAGCATGGAGTTCTTTCCTAAACTAGAGGCTGTATTTGGATCTGACCAGTTTTTCCACTAATGTCCTTTTTCTGACACAACCATGCAGGGTCCCACAGTGCACTAAGGGTCCTGTGTTCTGTCCTCCCTACTGACAGCTCCTCAGTCTCACTGGGCTCAAGGCTTCATGGAATGGACACTGAAGAACTGCTCAGATATAGACATGTCCTTTTTTTTTATTGAGATAGTCTTGGTCTTGTGGCCTGGGCTGGAATGCAGTGGCGTGATCTCAGCTCACTGCAACCTCCGCCTCCTGGGTTCAAGCGATTCTCCTGCCTCAGCCTCCCGAGTAGCTGGGACTACATGCGTGCACCACCACCATGCCCAGCTAATATTTTTGTATTTTCAGTGGAGATGGGGTTTTACCGTGTTGACCAGGCTGGTCTCAAACTCCCGACCTCAAGTTATTCACCCACGTAGGCCTCCCAAAGTCCTGGGACTACAGGCATGAGCCACTGTGCCCGGCCATAGATGCATTCTTAATCATAACATCCTACAGTCTCATCTGCCATCTTTGTGTTTTTCTCAAGTGATTATCCTGCCTCAGCCTCCCAGGCAGCTGGGATTATATCATGAGCCACCACGCCTGGCTAATTTTTGTATTTTTAGTAGACACAGGGTTTTGCCAAGTTGGTCAGGCTGGTCTTGAACCCTTGGCATCAAGTGATCCATTTTCAAAAAAATACAGACCTTTTCACATCAGCATCATTTTACACACTATAAAGCTAACAAAACAGTGAATTTTAAAGGCAGAGAGTTTCCTGTTGAATTTTTGGCATTCTAAACTATGTAAAATGTATTCCAACTAAAGACCCAACCAAGCAGGAAGAAACAAAAGGTGGTGAATTCATGTATTAGTGTGAGGTTCACAGTCAGCTTAGGAAGGACAGTCATTTTTTTTAGACGTAGTTTCACTCTGTTGCCAGATTGGAGTGCAATGGCACGGTCTCGGTTCAATGCAACCTCCACCTCCCGGGTTCAAGTGATTCTCCTGCCTCAGACTCCCAAGTAGTTGGGATTACAGGCTCCTGCCACCATGCCTCGCTAATGTTTCTATTTTTAGTGGAGACAGGGTTTCACCATGTTGGCCAGGCTGGTCTCCAATTCCTGACCTCAGGTGATCCACCCGCCTCGGCCTCTTGAAGTGCTGGGATTAGAGGCGTGAGCCACCACGCCTGGAGGAAGACAGTAATGTTTGAGTAAGATCCTATTTCTTGATTACTAGTATCAGTAAGATCTGCAAATATTGCCTGTACCTCTAGCGTGAATGTGAGATTTTAGCAGATGTATGAAAGCATGATATCAGCAGGTACAAATGTGTGCTGTTTAGGAAGGAAACTCTTTGGCAACAGACGTGCAGACGGTATATTCTGCTTGTTCTCCCTGGGGATGGAAACCTGAGGGGTTTTGATCTGTTCCTTTCCTAACTCATTTTCCACAAGTATTCCTGTGTGTCTGAATAAATATATTTTCTCTCGAGTCCTCACTCTCTTTCTAAAGGTGACGCACACAGGCACACCAAGATCAGCTATACTTGCCTTACAGATAACAGGTTTAAAACTATTGTCTTGCTTTTTAATGATTATTTTCATGATTATGTTTTGTTTTTTTATGATTCACTGAAAAAAATATTTAGAAGACACAAAAGCTATTTTTTAAAAAATTGCCTGTAGATCTTCAAGAGACAAAAACTTTCAAGGTTTTCGTATATTTTTTATGATTGACTTCATGCATTTTCTATTTACTTAAATCGTTAGAATCTTACGCTTTTACATATTTTATGTTTCCATTTTACATGATATTTAATTTTCCTTTTTGTTTCTCAGGCTTTAAAAACAGTTCTTAATAGCAGAATGATATTGAAATCAATGAATATTGTACTATTTAACTATTTTCCAACTTTTTGATTTTGTTGCTGTTATAAATTCTGACTTAATAGGCATCCATGTAGATAACCTCTCTTTACTCATTATTTCATAAATTTATATTGGTTTTGGTGCAGTTACAAAGTTTTGATTACTGGATTTTTTAAGAAAAGAAAGTCAGAATTTAGACTGTTTGATAGCCATATCTATACTTTTATAACAGTATTGGATATATATCCAATTTTTTATATATATATATAAATTGGATATTGGTTAAATATCCAATTTATTTACCAAATCACCAATACATTTATTGTGATTTCATTAATTTAGCCGATTTACTTCTTGTCAAATCAATAAAATCACGTAATAATTGATTGTCTATTGTTCTTGAGACATTTTCCCAGATAATATGATGGTGCATAAATGAATAAATCTTTAGGCCTTGCTTTAAAAGATGCTGGGGCAGGCCGGGCATGGTGGCTCATGCCTGTAATCCCAACACTTTGAGAGGCGCAGCCAGGAGGATCACTTAAGCCCACAGGGGTTTGAGACTCACCAGAGCAATATAGGGAGACCCTATCTCTCCAAAAAACAAAAAAGTAAAAATAAAATTAAAAAAAAAATCAGCCAGGCATGGTGGTGTGTGCCTATTATCCCAGCTACTCAGGAGGTTGAATGGGGAGGATCACTTGAGCCCAGGACATCAAGGCTGCATGGGCCATAATTGTGCCACTGTATTCCCGCCTGGGCAACAGAGTGAGACCCTGTCTCTAAAATTTTTTTTTTAATTAAAAAAACACAAAAGACCATGGGTGATGTGATCATATTTCAAGGGTTCAAATGCTATGAGAATTCCGGAGAAGAGAGAACACTCCAGGCTATGGAATTCAGTTACGTTTGAATGGAGAAAGGGATGTTTGAAGTCAGTTTTACAGAATGGGTTGATTTTTAAGGTTAAGATCCGCGGAGCGGGGGTTGGGGGGTGGTAAGAAAGCATTTCAGGAAAAGAAACTCAGCGTCCAAAGGTGAGGGGGCAAAACATCAGAGTGGAGGCTGTTTGGACAAGGTGCTATTCACAATTACATGCATGCCTCGTCGGTCTCCAGCTGCTGTGAGCTTCTCCCTGAAATCCTCACTCCGTGCTGGCCCCCCGGAGCAGAGCAGCCTGTAGGTGGGCAGTGCAGTTACCTGGTGACTCCAAGAACGGCCAGGTACTAGAGTTCTTCCAGATTCTTGGAGGTCTGGCCAAAGTGGGCTGAAGAAAATTATTGAAAGCCCTCAGCAAGAAATGTCTCCCTACCAACTTTCAAATTCTCCTTTGACTAATAACGATCCCTTCTGGGATTACACAGCCCCGCGGGTTGGTCTGTTTTACTGGGTGGGTGGGGGCGGTTTTCACGCTGCCAGTGATTAGCTGTGGGCTGGTGGGGAGACGGAGGGTGGCCTATGGCTTGTTCAGCGTTTGGTCTTGCCATAGGGAAGATGGGTGCATTTCCCTGAAGGGGCGGCTCCCTGAGATGGGTGCTCTGGGGGCACTTCGGGCCGGGACCCCCAAACTCAGAAAACTCTGTACCACAATTTATTGAGGTGTTATCTCTTGATAGTCGTAGATGGTTTTGTTTTCTTATTTTTGCTTAAATATTTATAATTTTCTATAAAGATTTTAACTTTTCTATCTAAGGAGGAAGGGAGTTTAATGACTATGTTAGAAGCTTCTTGGGATGTTATGAAATAATACTCAAGAACAAAAAGTATATTCATATTGCTTGCCCAGTGATTTGTTCCAAGATATTTATCCTAAAGAAATAATTTACTTTTTTATTTTTTTGAGACAGGGTCTTGCTCTGTCATCTAGGCTAGAGTACAGTGGTGAAATCACAGCTCACTGCAGCCTTAACCTCCTGGGCTCAAAGCAATCCTCCCACCTCTCAGCCTTCTGAGTAGCCAAAGGAGTAACGGAGGCAAAGTGCTGTATATATGAAAGAAATTTTTATTATTGCCCTCTCTTTAATAGTAAAAGCGGGAAACAGCCTGAATGCCTCAAAGTTAGAACCTAGTTTTGGCACTAGGGGGTATGTCTGAACAGTAGAATATACGTACCTGTGAAGACGATAATTAGGATGATTACATGGAGACAAGGACGCGTGTTTCTGCAGTGATGTTGTGTGAAAAGGCAGGATATGTGGCAATTGTCATAGTTTTCACGTGGATGAGAATGTGAAGCAACACGTAAGAATGAAGGATGTATAGAAGGGCTGTGTGCATGGGGAGCTTGTCCTCCCAAAACTTAAATAAAACAGTGGTTTCAGGCGGACGATCTGTAACACTGTAACACTGATTGACCCACGGTAACATTCGGGTCTTTTAACATCTCTGCACTCTGGGTTTTCTCACTTGCCAAATGGAGGTGACAATACCTACCCCCACCTACATCTCAGGGTGTTGGGCGTAACAGGAGGGAGCTCTGCCGGCTTTGCATGCGAGAGCTTCCACACGCATGCGCGGGGTGCTCATACCCCTAGCATTGTCAGAAACATCAGCACCCGCCTGCAGGTTGGTGCGAGGCCCTCTCCTCCAAATTATGAGAAAATTACCTTGGGCATCTCATTAATTTTCAAAGCTTCCCTTTCATCTAGCACTCAGACTCATGAAATACCAGGTCCAGAAACAAAATCAGAAACGATTTCCTCCAACTCTCTCATGTAAGTCATCACAATGAGTCCACAGACACCAGGGGGAGAATGACACCCTTGCCCTCATACAGCCTGGCCTGGAGTGAGGCGTCCCAGCCCCGGCTTTCAGCACGGCCCCGCCCTCCCCTCCCAGTCCCTGCTGCTGTAAGGACATGCCCTGAGCAGGTGTCCCCAGCGCTCCGAGGTGTGGAGCGGACTGTGGATAGAGCTCACGGATGGACGGCGCACTCCTGCTGGGTACCTGAGCACGCGGTCCGAGGCCTGGCTGGACTTGGACACGTCACAGCTCTGGTGCTTTTCCTGTGCCTTGGCCAGTTTCTCTGCTGCAGCGATCGGGCATCCGGAGAGGCTGCAATCACAGAAAGCGGGTTGAATGGTCCCGCCTCAGACGCCTTCACAGGACACCAATCCTCCCTTAATACCAGGACCCTGATGCAGGTGGAGCTGTGGGGGAGGGGTGGTTTCCCAAGCCTGGCATGGGCAATCCTGATGGGTGGACTGGGAGAGGGGGAGGTAGTCATGTTTCTAGGTGCATGCTTTCTGCTTGTCTCCAGCAGAGAATGCTGGCGGCAGTGCTGTGTGAGGTGTACTCAGTCCTTCCCAGTGAGAGCGTCCCAGCTCCATGCATTCGGGAGGACACAGCTGGTGAAAACGGTAGACAGATTCTGTTCTGGAGAGCTCGCCATTTCTGGAGATGAAGAATTAATAGCTTGGGTAGGAGGAGTTTTTAAGCCCATGAATGGCAATGAACTGACTGTTACCAGAAGATGGAGCTCCAAGCTGATTTCCTAAATGCTACTGACTGTGGCCTCTGGGGGGCCTGTCTGACTTTAGCCCTTTGGTGTTCTCCACAAGCAGGGAAATGAAAGTGGAGAGGAAAGCAGAATGATTTCTAGGACTGCAATAAAATGTTTTGTGGAGCCAAATAGTTCAGGCTTCGTCTAGATGGAGGGGACAGCAGCTGGGCTCTTTTGTGTGCAGGCTCACTTTATGTGAAATCACTGTGCCTGCTCTGTGCATGTCTCCATGCATATCTGCTCATATGCACAGATGCTCCCCCCATATATATGTCACACCCCAAAGACACGCCCGTGCTGAGGTTTGATGGAGGCCCTGACACTGTGGATGCTGCATCGAACAGCACACAGCCCACACCTCTCCAACCTGTCGATCATTTCCTGCTTCTGCAGATTAAACACCTGAATGTCTCTGGCGGGCACAGTGGTCATTTGTTTCATTATAAATTTAACACAAAGAACCAGGTTTACCAGTCAGACAAACAAAAATTAGAGTGAAGCTTATAGTAGTTTCCTTCTTTTAGATATAATTTTATGTGAACTCATAAAACCATAGACTGTCAGACAAACTTCAAAAGAATCACTTTTCGGCCTCTGGAAATAAAAAGTTATCAGATAAGAACGGAATATTATGGGCAGCTGAGTAGTTCTTATCAAGTCTGAACAGAACAGGAAAAGAGAACTGAAATCGTTCACAAACAAAAGAGTGATTTCGAGTACATTTGTTAGCGGGAGTCCAGAGTCTATTTCTCCAGCACCCCAGCCTCCCACAGACCCCCACCCAGCCTGCTAAACATCTGTAGGTTTTCTGAAGATGTCGGTACTTGTGATCTCGGGTTTCCGCAGAATTCCAAGGGCAGTCAAGCCAAGCTACATGCTGTATAGGCTTGCTGCATTCCAGGCCATGTCCTGTCCAATGAGCACTAGGACAGCCCTGTCTTCACCCTGGAGGACAGCAAAGGCTTGGCCTCCTTCCTTCCAGCCATTGTAAATGGTCATGGTTTCCACTCCTGATACTATACCCTGCTACCATAAGGTGGGTGGGGCAACTAAAACCATCCAGTTTGCACCACAAGGGCATGAAGTGCTTGCCACTCCCGCACGTTATGTGGAGGTGCCTGTACTTGGGGAGCACCATGGGGAGCACCGTGTGGAGCACAGTCCGCCTCCCCGGGAAGGAGGAGGCATGGAGGGCAGCCGGCGCTCCCTCCCACACCAGTGCTGCACGTGGGTGCCTGCACTTGGGGAGCACTCTGGGGAGCACCAAGTGGAGCAGGTGCCTGTATATGGGGAGCACCATGGGGAGCACCGTGTGGAGCACAGTCTGCCTCCCCGGGAAGAAGGAGGCATGGAGGGCAGCCGGCGCTCCCTCCCACACCAGTGCCGCACGCGTGGCTTACCTTCGGTGGGAGTTCCTGTTGCTGTTGACATGCCCGCGCCCCGTGCAGCCCGGAGTGGGGCACTTGAGGACACTTTCATGCATGGCAAGGACTTGACAGGGAGAGGCAAAGAGAACAGCCAGCGTTAAAACAGAGGCACAGTCAGGACACATGAAAATGCAGTCATTTAACAAAGGCCAGGTTGCTCATGACAGACAGTCCTACAAACGTTTGTGATGGGCATGGTCAGGAAAACACACGTGGGAGGAGAAAGAAGGTTGACTGGACCCTACAGACCCTACATGAAAGGCCAGAGAAAGAAGGTTAACTGGACCCTACGCTAAGGGCCTCACACGGCAGGGGCACTGGACCCGGGAGCCTGGGAGTTCAGAGAACACAGAACCGACTCTTTCCTGATGGGTTAGGGGAGCCAGGGCCTCACAGACGTTACCCATGCATAAGCACAGAGTGTTGATTAGCCATAGAACAACACAGAGGCTGCGGATTTTAAAAACACCCCTGTGCTTTGGAAACACACAGCATTATGAATGTGTGGTGGGTAGATGAATACAGAACCACAAACCTCAATTTTAAATAAAATGAATTAAATAATCACGCTTCCTTTAGGAACCTAGTGCTTTATTATTCTTTAAATAGAATGAGCTAGAATGGTACGCGTTCTGCGTTTTTACGCTGTGAAATTAACAAGCAGGAGAGGCCGCACGGACTCCTCTTGTGGTGCAAGGGTGCTACTGGCCGGCTGGCTGCGGGGAGCTGCTTGAATTTTCCCAGCAGTGGTGTTAGACCTGACTTATTTGTGTCTTCCTTCTTTTCTGGTCCTTCGCGAACACTTCACTACTCTGGGTTCTGGGGGAAGGTTAGCAGGGACGAAGGGACCCCCACACGGACCCCGTCTGCATGATGCTCTGCTCCTCTGAGCCTGCTGTCTCCAAACTCCAGGGCAATGGGGTGGCGGCTTTCCCTGCCAGCAAGGTTTACCTGAGGCCAGGTGAACATGGAAGGTCTATTCAAAACAGATCTGCCTACCCTAGTTACGTAATTGTATTTTCTACACTTTTCCTCCTTCTCTAGAACAACGTCTCTCTTTCCCCGGCAGCCTGCTGGGCACTGAATCCCACGTCCACATGCTGTTACTGTTTTCTGAGTCCACACCCCGTCGTCTTCCTGCCGGGCAGTCCCTTCCAAAGATTCTGCTTTGGTGTTAGCTTTATCACTCCCACAGCTCCTGGCTTGTCCTGGATGTGGTAGGTGCCTAGTAAGTGCCGTCAGAAAAATGAATGATCAAAGTGAGTCCACCTTTGGCTCATCTTGTGCTGGGACCTGGCTGGAGGGGGTCACAGGGGGCTCCTTTCTGAGAGAATCCCAGCACAGTTCCCTGCCCCCTTCCTCACCTGTCCCAGAGGAAGAAGTGCTGCTCCTCCCTTTCAGGGAGGCCTCTCCAGGAAGCATGTGTGCGGTCCTCCTTCCTGCAGGACATCCATCTACCTACTTCATTCTTTACCATTTGTCCACCACCATGCGACAACAGCACACAAATGCTTTCCTTCACACAGCTTTTCTCTGACGTGCACCTGCACTTTCCTTTCCTTTTATGGTAAACTTTTCACACAGAGTTTTCCCTGGGGATGGCGCACATGGGTCACTCTGACCTGAGGTCCCGATGGCAAATGGACCTTACCCCTGTCTCCTGGTGCGTGGGGATGCACACTCCCAGCCTCGTCCCTGAATCGTCCTGAGGTGGACTGTGCTTGCCATCCTTGGTCCACACTCTGCTGCTACTTCATCCATCTCAATCCCATTTCTCAAACTTCTGCAGCATGTGCAGCTCCTATCCCTCTCTCCTCTTCTCACATCCGTCTCTTGGGGTCAACAAGAGGCTTTTACTCAAGAAACCCTGCTGGGCGCAGTGGCTCACGCCTGTAATCCCAGCACTGAGGGAGGCTGAGGCAGGTGGATCACGAGGTCAGGAGTTCGAGACCAGCCTGACCAATGTGGTGGAACCCCGTCTCTACTAAAAATGCAAAAATTAGCCAGCCATGTTGGCATGCGCCTGTAATCCCTGCTACTCAGGAGGCTGAGGCAGGAGAATCACTTGAACCCTGGAGGCGGAGGGTGCAGTAAGCTGAGATTGCGCCATTGTACTCTAGCCTGGGTGACAGAGTGAGACTCCATCTAAAACACACACACAAAAAAACAAAAAAGAAAAACAAAAACAAAAAAACCCTGTGACCTCCCTAGTTCTTCCTCTTGGACCTCGGTGGCACCCCGGGTGTTGCCTTCCTACACGGGGCTTTATCAGAAACACCTTCCTCTCCTGGTTTTCTGTTTCTGATTTTCCTCCACCTGCCCTGTTTCTGTGCTTCATCTTACCATACATTCATGGCCAAACTTCCCATTTATGGGCCCTCCTTCATTCCCGCCTTATGCCTCCTCCCTAAGCAATTCCATTCTCAGTTTCCACGAATGCTGCTCCAAGGACGGTATCCAGGTAGCCACCTCTGCACCTGACCTCCCCAGGCCTCCAGAGCCACCTCCCCAAACCCTATGGAATATGATGCAGTTCCTCCAACTCAAGTGGGAAGAATACAAGTCCCAGTTTCTCCACCAAATGTGGCCCTGCTGCTCAGCTCTCTGTACGGATTATCGGCCCTGGCATCCTTAAGTTCACCAATCCTTGGCTTCCTCTCGGTCTCCCCTCTTCTCTTAGTCCTCATGTGTGCTGTCCTCCACAGCCTGCCCGCCTATCTCCAGATGTTTTGTGAATCTGCCCCAGCATTTTTATTCCTACTACCACTGTCTTTTGCATGCCCTGATCTCTTGTGTGGACTTTTACAACAGCCTTTAGAAAATGCTGTGGGTTCCTCACCTCTCACACAGGACGGCTGCAGCATCACCTCAGGGCAGCCTTGGGGACTCTGGGAGTGCTTCTCCCTCCTGCCTAGACCATGCTGTGGAGTCCCCACTGTGCAGAGCCCCAGCATCATGCAGAGCCCCAGCCTCGTGCCCATGCCCTTCTCTCAGCCGGGCGGGGAGCTCTCTGCGGGCCAGTACGGTATCTCGGGCAATGGCGTGTCCTCGGTGGTCCTGACACAGTGTGCTGCTGGTTTCTTTATGGAATTTAGTTGGACAGAAATGATGATTAGGGGAAACTAGCCCAGAAAAAAAATAAAATTAAATTAAAAGCCTTCTATGGATGGAATTCTCTAATCATTTTAGTAAATGCTTGTGGTGATATAAAGAATTGCACAGGAGCAAAGGCTGAGAAGCCTCCTCTGTATTGTCTGGCGTGCACCTGTGCGGCCCGTGGCAGAGCTGAGGCTCCCTGCCTCCAAGAGCGATCCAGCCCTGGGAGGCACCTGCAGCCGGCGTGATGGGCACCTTGCCAGTCCACACTCCACACTCCCGCTTCATTTAGGCCTGTACTGTGAAAACAGGGAGTCAGAAGAATTTTCCATCCATAAAAACGAGCTGATAATCTACCTTGAAGGTGAATATGTAGGTCTCAAAAACACATAAAGAAACTCTTTCTTCTTAAAACACTAGAGCCTGGTCCTCCTGCCTCACTTTACAGATGAGGAAGATGAGGTATAGAGAGCTGCAAAGTGCTGGATGTCACATCACGTGTTCAAATGGAAACCGGAACACCAAGCCCAGGTTTCAGAGGAGACAGAGAGGTTTGGAGATCAGACAGATACGGATTTACATCTTAGCCTGGAGCTTACTTGAGCGAGTTAGTACCTGCTCAGATTGGTTTAACAACATGTCGCACATCCTCAATTTGCCAGGTATTGGCTAACCTCTGGAAAGAGAGGGTGCCAGAGTCTCTGACTCTCATCTTCCTCATCCGAATGAAAGGGCGGGTGTTGCCCTACGGTGTTGACTGGGGACTAGGTGAACTTGTGCTTGCTGTGTGCGAGCTGCGCCCTGGCACCAAGTGTGTGCTGGGTACATGGAGCTGTTGCCAAACCATGCTATCTTCCTACTCATGTAACACACGGGATTGGAACCACTTGCTCTGATTTGTTTATCTTCACGGCTCTTCAGGCTTGTTCACAAGATGGTTACAAAAAACACAGGTTTGCTATTTTGAGGAGCCATAATCGCATCTAAAGATCTTTCACTGGAAAACGTTCAGCAAAAACTTCCTAAGTCCCAAATGCTCCTGAGAACGTTTCTTTGTGCTGACACGTTTTGCTCTCAAGTATCTCAAAGTTACCCGTTTTAATGGGACAGTCCTCAAGAGGGCCTTGAAGTAATTAACTGGTCATCTTGTCATCTCTCAAGCCATGTTATGACATGTTCCCCACTAGAAACTTGTCTTAGACAGTAAGGGAAACTCTTCCCATGCCACAGACTCAAAACCAGAACCTTAAACTCATATGCTAATTCCTGAGAATGTGCCTTTCCCTGAACCATCAATTCCAGCTGCAGTATTTAATTTATTGGCATAGTTTACGTGCTGAAAGGATAAACAAAAAAAGATGTATGTCATTTCAGTTCTAAAATAATTTAGCTATATTCATGGATTTATCCCACATGATCAAAACCTAATTAAAAAGAATGCTTAAGATCAAAACCCATCTGATTTCAACCTCCTTCCTTATTGAAGAACCTATAGTGTTGAAATGTCGAGACAACTATGACATGAGACAGACTTTACAGGTGAAATGCAATAAAACTTCAGATCTAAATATGCATTTGGATGATGTACAGAAATCCAGATATTTGGGCAAGAAATGTCTGTCTCAAGGCCTCTCTCCTCTGGGATTCCTGGCAGTTTCATACTGGAAGGGACGTCTTAGAGACCATCAGATTCAATTCTGTAATTATGAGAAAAGATGCCTGGAAGCCACCTGCCAGGGTCCCAGAGCAGGTCAGAGCTGAACTCGGGACTAGAACCCAGGCCTGTGCAGGAGCTCTGTTAGGGGAGGTGGGCTTCATGGTGCACCACTCTCCTGGGGCTGTGCCATTGGCACACCCACGAATCCTGGATCAGTTGCCCATCAAGTTAAGTAGGGGCCTAGTTAAGTCAGGTCGCACCGAGCCGTACGATGGAGATGACGTCAGGTAAGAGGGATGACAGAGACAGAGTCATGGGTGTTTGCACCCCCAAGGGTAGCAGTGAGATGTGGACTTACTTTCTGGAGGGACCCTATCTTTGTGCGGGCATCCGGACAGGCTGCGGTGATGTGGGTACAGCCCAGTTACGTGGCCGGTTCCATCACACCCGGGGGTTGGACACTTGCTCTCTTTCTTTTCTGTTCTTGAGGGATCTAAAAGCGACAACAGGTGCCAAGAGAATAAATGTTTACCAATCAAAGACAAATGTGATTATTTCACAATCTGAAGGAACCTTGCTAAAGAAAGAAATAAAGCAGGTGTCATGGGGACAGGCTGTGACATCAGACTTTTGCTTAGATAGTTCTTTGGTTTTGGGTGACTTTTTTCAACCTCACACAGTATAACCATGAATCAGAAAGTATTTTAATTTTTATTCTGAAGAAAGGAAAAGCCTACCCCTCACCTTAACCCTGATTCATTATTTTCCCGTGTGTTACATGATAAGCTGTGTTGCTCAAAGGAATCAACGTAAATCGTGATGAGACAGTGACCTTCTTAGAGAACGAAATTCTGTGCCATCATCATTCAGCAATTTTCCGTGAAATTCAGCCAGAGAGTGTCATTCCGTTCAAAACCTCTGTAGCTGAATTTCTTTCTTATTGAGTGCTCTGATCGCATACACTAGAAGCTGCAGGATTGTACTGGCATTGAGATTTGCTCTCCGGAGGTCAGGTGACACCGTTTCGTAGCACACCAATTCGGCGCTTTTCGGACAATAAACTGAACTCTCAGAAGGCACTGCAAGCAAATGACCAAAACGGTGGAAAGCCCACCTGACAGAGGTGACGGTAACCAACATGTTTCAGAAGCCACGGGAGCAGCCTTTTGTTTTGATTTCTTCATCTGTACTTGGAACCAGAGGAAGGCTCGTAGAATGCCGTGCATGCATACACAAAATTAAGAAGTAATGGGTTTCTACAGCCCTGTCGGCTTCTCTGCAAGTACCAGTCAAGGGCAAATTAGGGCAGAGCTTTGGTTAAAAGATAAATTCAATACTAGAGGCCAGAAATGTAATGATATTGCTCACAAAATTATTTCTATATCCGGAATTGACTACAGTTCATAAATATGCAATATAATAACTTCAGAAAATATTTCTAAAGTAAAGCTCAGACCAAACAGTAAATCTAAGTGTGTGAAACACTGTATTTTTAGCCAGTTTTTGAAAACCAGTTGCTCAGATCACCAACAGATAGTGATCATTATTAGTCCAGAAATGCAATAGTTAAATTTTCTTTAGGGATTAGTTCTTTTTGATATTCCATGAATCAGGCCAATCATGATTGCTAGAAAGTACACGTTTTACTTTTGGTTAAGAATTCACTTTATATCAATAAAAAGCTGGATTTAGAATTTTTTGAACTTTTACGGACTTTTCATTCATTCGGGTGAACTTGAAATAGACAAAGGACTAGCAGGAGTAGACAAATGCCATCATGTTCATATAAAAACACTCCCCTTTTCTTTTTTAGCTAACATCGTATTCTGCATAATGTGCCTCTCCTGTGCTGGAAACTCTTAAGTCAGTTCTGGTGTTGAGGGAAATACCGTTAGTACAATCATCAGCTACTTTCCTACCATTATTTCAAGAAGAACTTTGAGAACAAATCTAAAATTACGTGGTTGTGGCTTCAGTTTCTAATTACATTACTGGAACTTCTCTTACACCTGCAAACAAAAGGCTGGCACCTTACTGCCTTTTCAGTAGTTTCATCATAACGTTGGTATAAATTACTGTAAATACAAATCACTACAAATATAAAGTAGTAAGTGCACAGTAACAGTTTCAAAAGAAATACTGACAATCATAAACTAGAGATAAGAGATTTTGAACTAGATGTAAATGGCTAGTGGCCGGTGCAAAAAAGTGTAAGGTGTGTTATCTATTATTCATCCTTAAGTGATCCTATTTTATCACGACACTTACGACTACCTAACAAAATATATGACTTCCCAGATTTCAAAAGTGCTGTGAAATTAAGTAGGGATTTGCATGAAAACATTGTGGCTCCAAAGCATTTCAGGTTTTGGAAGACGACAAGGGTATAGTCTCCTCTCGATGCATGAGGTCCTGGTTGAGGTGGGGTCATGCTATTGGCCTTCACCGTTACCTCCCCTTGGTTTCTTTTCTCTTGCAATCTCAAAAGCAAACATACAAGCAAACACAAAATAACCAAGCAAGCAAAGGAACCAACACTTTAACCCAACACCTTGCAACAACTTATAGGAAAAAAAAAAAAAGGGTGCTGTTTAACCTGCTCCCTTCACTCTGCTGGAGCAGACGATTGGGTAGAAGACAGAGGAGGTCCATGATCCAGGCCTTTTGCATTAGCTCAAGATTTTGGAAATGTTGCTCGTTGATAATTTAAATCAGTTTGAGAAGACTGTGTAGAAATGAGAATACAAGTGTTCTCTTCGTATTTAATAAAATAACAGAGTGTCTGAAAATAGAGCCTGTTGACACGCTAGTGGTTGCAGGAATTCTCTGTTGGCTGTGTTGGTGAGATAGTGCCACAATTTTTATTTTTATTTTATTTATTTATTTATTTATTTTGAGATGGAGTCTCACTCTGTACCCCAGGCTGGAGTTCAGTGGCATAATTTTGGCTCACTGCAAGCTCCGCCTCCCAGGTTCACGCCATTCTCCTGCCGCAGCCTCCCGAGTAGCTGGGATTATAGGCGCCCGCCACCACGCCCGGCTGATTTTTTGTATTTTTAGTAGAGATGGGGTTTCACCATATTAGCCAGGATGGTCTCGATCTCCTGACCTCGTGATCCACCCACACTATTTTTTAAGGGAGCCTCTTTGCTCCACTTTGTTGGCCTTGCTTGGCTGTATGTATTTTGTTCTGAATATAACTACAGACATCTTTGAAGGACATTTGGAATAGTGTGGAAGACACTGACAGATATGGAAATGAGCTTTGGTCAAAGAGGAAGGCCTGGAGCAGCTGGGAGAGATGGGAGTCAAGGCCTTCTGCTTGCAGGAAAGTCCAAATCTGCAACCTTTCCTCACTTCAGGGAAAAAGCATGTCTCAGTTTTTACTGTTCATTCCCACCTGACCCCCATTTACACAGAGGAAGCAAGCAGTCTGAATTCCATTTTCTTGCAAACAAAACAAAACAAAACAAAACAACAACAAAACAAAGCGAGTCAAAATTTGCATAAAGCCGCTGAATTTAAAGAGACCAAGAAACCAAAGAAGCCACCGCAACATAGAATTTGCAAATCTCAATCAGCCTTCTCCTTTACACAGCATACCCTACATGACTTCATGCCAACACGCCATCCTCAGCTCTAGGATCCGGGATTCTAAAATGTAAGCCTAAAATATATTTGTCCAACTGAGCAATCACATGAAAAGAAGACACTGTTTCTTCCCCCAAAATTAAAATGTTTCCTTCCTGTATGATTCTCAAAAATTCAACTAAAAATTCTAATAATTTTAGCCCATCTTGTTAACAATGATAGCACTGTAATTTTAAACATAGATGCTGTGTTCCATAGTCTTTAAAATGCCCAAATCAGGCCTGAAGCCCTGCTGAACTAGAGAATCTACTGATTCTCTTTCCTCTAAAAAACAACCCCTTCGCTACATAACAACACTGCAACGGGCAAAGCTTCACCTTGCGACTGAAATGCTGTCTGTGCCCAGGCACCTGCTGAGAGCTCCTGAGCCTCTGGCTAAGGTACCTCTACAGTTTGCATTTGGCTGTAGTGATGTCCAGCTTGCCGCTTAAGGTAGGTGCACACATTGAGAGGAGAATACACGTCCGTGCCACAGTGGGAAAAAGTGCAGTTTTTCTGATTGTTTGAAGTTTATACAGCAACTGATTTTCAAGTAAATTCCTGAGCCTCACTACTGGGTTCGCAGTGAGGAAACTCAGGATTTGTCATGAATAGAATGTAGCAAAAAACAGAAAAGGATCTTTGGGGTACTAACATAGAAGGATTTAATGAACTGCCAAATTTATGTTTTAAATTGCTTCTTACTGAGTTCTAAAAGAATATTGTGATGGAGATATCCACAAAGTCGAGGTTATGCATGAGGCTGAATTAGAACCTGCCTCATATTGAAAGTGGACACCGTCTTCTTTATAAACATGAAGACGATCGTTCAGGTTGGAGATACATATATATACGATCTACTTACATACATACAGTATACATATATATATGTAAAGATAGCCAAATACATTGACATATGCAAACATGTGCCCACATATTTCATAAAAGAAAACTCAGCTCAAACTATCATATTGGATAGTTTTTGAGTGTTTTATAATAAACTAATATTTGAGAAAAGCGCCGTTTAACTGTTTCCACAACGGAATGGAATCAGTGAGGGGGGAATGAATATCCTAAAGAAATTGCTATTGATCTTAGCTGAGGCCACACCATGCCTTGCATAGCAAATGGTTTCCATTACCTTACTATCTTAAGATAATTAATGTGTAGTCACTGCCCTTATCTTACGTTATTGGTCATTCGGTTACTGTTCAATTTCTATCAGGGGTGTTTTCTATGAGGGCAGTTTCATCAATAACTGTCACCTGATGATAATTTTATAAATCATGATGCCACCTACCCAATCCAATTTATAAAATATGTGCTTTATCTCGGATTGACTAATTGTTACATAAACCCTTGCCACTCAACATAGATTGTGGTTCATTTATAACAGCACAGGCTTACCCTAATATTTTCTATCACGTGATGTGTCTGTGCTTTAACCCTGTCTTCCCAGGAATGCATTTCCCACTGAAATATCCGACTGTTCATCTGCTCTAATAATATGACGTTGAGCTGCTTTATGTATTTCTCAGACAAATATTTTATTTGCTTGTCAGAAACGTAATCACAAAATATCCTTCTGGAATCAACTCTAAGAATGTGCAGTAGAGACATAATTCAGTGTGAGTCATACTTTAACTGGAGACTACCACCAACATCCTTTACCCTAGCTCATGTTTTCATGAGGCAACTTACGTTAGGTAGAAATATTACCTTTACCATAGTATGGCTTTTTGACATGGCTGTCACTGGATTTAGGCTTTCTGTCCTCCCCGGGAAGTTGTCTCGGAGACTGGTCCTCGTATGACCTCATATTGTCCCTCCTCCCGGCTTCCATGGCCATCTTCTCCCTCATGGCCTTTGCTCTTTCCGTTTCTAAAGCAATGGCTTTCTCCAGCAGGGTCAGGTTCCCCTTGGTCATGTCGAACACCTCTTCAGACCTGTCCGAATTCACGGAGGTGGTATCGTCGTCCCGCTCATGACACCCGTCCTCCTTCGCACAGCTGGCAAACACTCTCGACCGAGGGCTCAACTGCTCCTCCAGCCGCATGAGGTTCAGCATGTCCGAGTAGTTTCTGTCCGGCGTCCTTCCTGGGAAGTCCTCTTCTGGCCGGACGTGCTGACGGATGTTCATGTTCTGCTGCGGGTTCCTCTCCTGCGGGTTGGTCTCGCTGAGCTTCCTGGCCAGGTCGAAGCACTGATTCCTCAGACACTCCAGACTGCTCAGACACACCTCCTCATCGCTCTCCTCCACCATCTTTTCCATGAGTCCATTGTTCATGGGCTTCCCCAACATGACGTAATTCATATTTCTGCTATCTTGCTGCGACATGCTGTCTGCATAACTTCTGTCATTCATGTTATCTGAGAGCACAACACCGTGTCCTTGGGCTAATAATTTAAGGGAGTCCACTGTTTCTCTAACAACGTCACTGTCTAAGTCTAAACTCAACTCACTTTTCCGACCCAGGTTTTCGTTTTTGTCACTATCGTCTTCCAGACTATTGGAGGTATTGCTGTTCATTTCGGATTCAGTCCTGGCCCGGTAGGCTGCGTCCTCGGCGATTTTGCCGAGGTTTAACAACGACTTGGCCACCAGTTCATCGTAATTGTCATATTCGTCATTATTGTTATCATCCTTTTCTGTGTCTTGCATTATTCGAGTATTGTGACAATTCATTTGATGGTCTTCTGCAAAGAAAATAAAAAAGACAAAAAAGAAAAGAAAAGGAAAAAGTGGCTAGAACTGGAAGCTTAGTTGCAACAGCATGGATAGCACGTTACCTGCAAGTCAAACCGTCTATCATCTCATAGAACCGTAAGTCCCATTTGCGGCTGGGTTGAAAAAGTTGACATAAAGGAAACGGATGTTGCTAAAAAGCAGAAGGCCATTTAAAATACTTGTTGTGAATTATTAATTTCTTTAATGGCTCTTAAGATAAACCAGTCAGTGTGGCAAATATGATTTTAAAATATTAATTCTGTATTTTTCATACATTTTAAGAATGACTTATTTTCTCCATTGGCTTGCTTTATCTACAGCCTCGCCAGATGTGTATTAACTGTGCTCCTCACATTACTAGGCTTTCTAAGAGTTCATGAACTTTACTTGTTGCCAATTCTGAAGCAGATGTTTGCAGCAATTGCTTTTAAATGGTCTATTTTCACAGTGGCGTGTAGGCAACACAGAGGACAGCCTCAGGTTCCTGAGAAGTCAGGCAGGGGTGCCGGCTGCATTGGGAGCTCAGAATCATAAGCACACGTTGGGGCTGAATTAAGAGTTCTTTTGAATCCAATACCTTCCAGACAATTTATCATGATACACAGTGAAGCAATAGAAATTCCACAGTAAAAGTTTAGAAAGTAAACCTGATTCCTCTGACTGTGTCTCCACAGGTTTGAAAGTGAGAGAGAGAGAGCGTGCAGCAGCCGAAAGCCTGTAAAAGGCGGGGTTGAGGTGAGTTGGTGCCACCACTGCACAGTGTTTGACCCCACAGGCAGAACTGGCACATTCCTCCATCTCACAGCCTCAGGAAAAGCTTGGTGAGCGGGCATAATGTGTGAGTAAGTGTCATGTTTCATCTCAAAAAAGTATTTGGAAAAACTCTTTTAAAAAGACCATGTTAAAAATTACATAAAACCCTTATGTTTTATCCCAAACGTATTCTGTTTCACACTCAAAGAGTATCTGGGATTTGCACCTGTAATCACCATGCTAGGTCACTGCTCCTATGTACATTGCAAAATATGAGTAATAATCAAAGGGTTCCTAAATGCATCTGTACCCTTAGATTAGATGTGGTTAACCGCATGCCATTTTCCCATCTGTTCTTCGGTTTTGTGATAAAACATCCAGAGTAAGAAGAATGCCTAAAGTTTATTAATGATTTAAAGAAATGAAGTATATTGACCTCTACAAAATACCAGTTCACTAAAAGCTGAGATGGGGGGCTCTGGTGCTTTCTCTACGGGTTTTATGCAGAAAAGGCTTTTGTTAGTGAAAAAAGACTTGGAGTTCAATATGTCAATAACAGAAAACAGTATCTTTGTTATCCCTGCTGAAGGAACAAATCTTTAAGATCTGACACACCTTTCTAAACTTCAGCAAATCAAATTTACCTTTTATTAGACATAGAGAATCACTAATTGTGTGAAACAAATATTGCCCTTCTTCTGGATAATTCCTATAAATCATCTTCTTTATTATAAGGATAAAAGTATTCCCCAAGAGCAGCAAAAAGAGAGAGAATCGAACTAGTGAAAGTAATCAGAAACACTGTGGGAGTATTAATCTCCAACGTACCCCTTGCTATAGCCTAGTGTTTAAGCTTTTAGGACTTGAAGTCAATCCTGTTTTAATGAATATTTGGAAATATAAAAGTCATATTCTCCTCTCAATTTATGCACTTTGTTATATTCATGGGCTGTGATTAGAGACGTTTCCCCAGAATAACAAGCTGAGTTACCCTGCACAATAGCTACGTTTTAACAGCCAGAATCACTGTGTCTATGAAGACCCAGCCATGAGATGAAAGATAAGCTATGATTTGAAAACAAAAAAGCACAGGCCACATGTTGGAGCATTTTGAAAGTTGAGTCAAAGAAGATACCACAGTCAAGCAAGACACTATTTTCATGATGATCTCCTACGTTTCCTTTATGGAACTCATTGTGTGGTCTTGAAGAATTTGGAAAAGCAGCAAGACCTTGAAAGTGGTGAACAAGAAAAGAAACAGCCTGTCTAATCCTCTTTGCTGCTTCTAAAGCCACAGAAAGCCTACAGGTGGAACGGGTCCTGGTTCGCATCTTATGAACTTCCTCACCTTCCTACAAATGTGTTATGTACAAGACTGGTCATTCTCCACATTCCAAATCTCAGGATTAGCGTCAATTTGTTTCCCTCTACATTCTCCCTTCAGCAGCACATAGTTAAGAAGCACATCTCACCTTTTTGATAATCAGACACTTATCTGTTTCTCCACTCAATTCATAAGTTACCTTCCCCCAACAAAATTAAAACAAAAATGGACAAGCCTCTTCACGCAGGGTCTTAGCCGTGCTGATGTGTGAAGCTGAGAGCAGCCGAGGAGAAAGTCCCTGAACTGTCTGGAGGCCAGCAGAATGCAGACCACCTCCGATGCATCTCCAGCTTTATACTCTAATCACAAAGCACATTGAGGGCACGGTTCATCCTCATACCAGACTGATACGGAGTTAGAAGTTCTACAGCCTGGCGCTCATCATGACTTGTGTGATGCTGAGGACCCAAGTCTCCAGGCCTTAATCTGCTCAGTGGGGATCGCAAAACTTCCTGGCCCTTCATCAGATCTCCTACAAGAACCATGCCACAGGATATGCCTCCTAAAGACTGCAGTTTGCTCTCTTACCATTGGCCCCAGAGCCGACTCCTGGGGAGAGCAGCCCGTTGGTAGAAGAAATCTGGAAAAGGCAGTGGAAAGCGTATTGGCATCTGAGCACAGAGCCTGTCATGTGCTTCCCCCCTTCTTCACCCCTTCTTCATCCTCCTGCTCAGTGTCATCTGAGCCTCTCCCAACAGCAGCAAATGTGGGGACAGCGGGTGAAGATGGCATGGGCGGCCTCAAAGCCTGGCAGGTGAATGGAACTTCTCAAGCTACCGGTCTTTAACTCTTTTAAAACATATGTGAAATGAAGTCAACTCCTAATTATGTGGCTCATGGAGGGGAACAGCCAGTCAATCATCAACAGGCAGGCTCTGAATCCCTGCTGGGCATCAGCCTCATCTGGAATTCAAAGTCGTTCACAATGAGCTTTTGGGATTCCCTCCCTGGTTGTGCACACTCCCTTTCAGGTATGCTTTTCTGAGGCTAATAATGAAATCAGTCACATGATGGGATGGGCTATGGGAACTAGATCAGAATTTTCTGCGCCAGTCTGGGGTTGAAACGTGATGCAAATAATCCACAAAATGAACATTCCAACCTCAAAAATCAGGAGGCCATTTTACTAGGGTTTTTTTTTTTTTTTTGAGATGGAGTCTCACTCTGTCATGCAGGCTAGAGTGCAGTGGTGTGATCTGAACTCACTGCCACCTTTGCCTCCCAGGTTCAAGCAATTCTCATGCTTCAGCCTGCTGAGTCGCTCAGATTACAGGTGCACACCACCATGTAGAGAGAAGGTTTCGCCATGTTGGCCAGGCTGGTCTTGAACTTCTGACCTTAAGTGATCCTCCTGCCTCGGCCTTCCAAAGTGCTGTGATTATAGGCATGAGCCACTGCTACCGGCCTCCATTTTACTAGTTTCTATGTAGTGACTATCGCTCTATCAAATAGGGAGAATGTATGTGTGATAAAAGAGCCCTTTATCAGGAAATTATTTTAAAGGACAAGTTTATGTTCTAAGTAAAAGCACGTATCTAGATGGAGATTTAAAGAGAAGAGCAAAGCATTCTCAGCTCCCTTTTTTGTGGTTTTCTATTTTAAATCTGTCATTCAGCAAAGCCGCACAGCAACGGACTCTGAGCAGGAGCCTCCCGTCAGCGAGGGCCAGCCCGGGGCTGCCCACACAGAGTTACCGCACTGGTTTGGAAATCAGAGAAGAGCTGGCCCAACTATTCCAGGTGAAAAAACTGAGCCCAGAAAACAGAAGCCATTTAGTGGCTGATCTCATGGGCCCTTCTACCTTCCCATCAGCCAATTATTCTACAAACCTAACTTGTGTTGTGTTACACATGAGACCTCAACTCCCCTGGGAGTGAGCTTTATGCAACGTTTTAGGGCTGAATTTTCTCTCTTTTGAGTCAGGTTGTTATAAACAATTTATGCTCCATAGTTACAATTAGAAAATGAAAACATCTTCGTAAACAAAAGAAATGTGGTTGCTGTGGGCCATTTATCCTCCACTGTCCTCACTAAGGTCTGGTAGAGTTAGAACTCTGGATTATAACTTTATATACAAGCCTTGGCTTCTTAGTGGTCCGTCCCTAAGATACACAACTTTGGATTCCTTCAGCATCTAGTCCTGATTGAACTACTGTTCTTTCTGGTCACTGACACAGGCCCCAGGCAAGCAAAAGTACAACGGAATAGAAAACACAGAAGAAGCTGCAGGTGGGGACTGTACTCCAAAGCGAAAATCACCCTAGACTTCCCCGGGTCGGAGAAGACCTGGTCTGCAGTGAGTTTCAAATAATGAAGGACCATTACTTTCCATGGCATTACAGAGGTGGTGTTTTGTTACATAAATAAATCAATATCAAAATATTATCTTGACTTGTAAATACTGAAATATGACAATGTATTCATTCTAATGAAAAGATGATGGTGTTTTAATGGAAATCGCAATGATAAGGGAAAAAAGCCACATAAACCATCTATATATTTCTGTTTGTTTGAGACAGGGTCTGGGTCTGTTGCCCAGGCTGGAGTGCAGTGGCACAATCACAGCTCACCGCAGCCTCATTCCCCCTGGCTCAAGTGGCCCTCCTGCCTCAGCTTTTGAGTAGCTGGGACTACAGTCATGCCTCACCATGCCTGGCTAAATTTTGTATTTTTTGTAGAGACAGAGTTTCACTGTGTTGCCCAGGCTGGTCTCAAAGCGATCTGCCTGCCTGGGCCTCCCAAAGTGCTAGAATTACAGGTGTGAGCCACTGCACCTGGCCGTAAATGTTTCATATACCACATCCTTCTGTGCAGAGGACATGAAGTTAGTGA